GAGTACGAGCGTGTGGTACGAGCTAAAACAAGTAAGTTTTTGACTTTATCAATTGTATCTTCATATTCTAGAAACCTTCACAGAAACCACTGAAACCAGCTTCGGAATCCATCTCCTATATCTCTCAGACTGATTAATTTTGATTGTGAATGTGATTTGAATGTTGACATCATACAGGTGGTCATGCACATTCTGCTTTAGGACCATAATGGTTCATAGACAACTCAAAATATCTCTTCATGACTTATAATTGACTAAAATTCAGGAGTTCTTGTCACTGGTGCCTCTGGGTATATCGCACTGCATTGTGTAAAGCAACTATTGGAAGATGGTTACACCGTTCGAGGAACTGTCAGAAATCTTCAAAATTCAGCAAAAGTATCACTTTCCATCAATTCAATCATTTGGTTTATGAGCAATTTGTAATCAGAATGGAGTAACTGCTTCAGTTTCTGCTATTAATAGTAACATGAACAATCTTACTTCGATAGTTTCTCGAAAATGAACCTCACGTTCTCGTTCTGAGTATCGTCTCAGTTATTTCCACTCATCCATTAGTCGTAAATGTTTAAGTGACCGGCACAATAAGCATTTTACTGAACGGTTTTTAATTGTCGATGCACTTAGCAGAATGTGAGATATGAGTTTCGATAAACTATTTTGCAACTAACTAAGACTACAGATTCAATCACTATTGTGAAAGGAGAACATCTCATTTAGAATACTCCATAACAGTATCTTCAACAAATCCCTCTGAACTCAATTCACATGTATATTTTTACTACCTCAATCGCATAAATGTAATTACTCTCCCAGCATCATATTTTGAACCAAAATTACGAATATCGTCTCCGATAAAATTGATAAATGAAGCAATCAGGCATTAAACTGTTTCCCTTCATAAGAGCAACTATCAGTTGTCAGTCAACCATGAGAAATCCGATTCAGATTTCGCCTCTGCTTGCGCTCAAGTATAGTTCTGAAAGGTTGGAACTAGTCGAAGCTGATTTGGAACATGCTGAAGATTGGCCAAGGTAGAAGATTTTTGCAATTGGATTTAATCAACAATGACCGATACTTTTCCACAAATAATATTTATTTTCAAGACTTGTGACATTCGGACAGCTCATGTTTTCCATTCTAATGCCAGAGCGCTTTTATGAACATGATCAGCTTTACTTAATTTATTTACTGATGTAACAATCAAGCTTTCATTCTTAAGTTGCTTCCTTTGAAAATAATATCGTTGCGTTTGTTCCAGTGTTCTCGATGGTTGCGACTATATTCTTCACGTTGCATCCCCTTGGCCAATTATCGCCGATGAGAATACGGTGAAAGTAGCCGTTGAAGGTACCATAAACATCTTAAAGGTAGCCGCGAAGATACCAACAATTAAAAAAATCGTCTTGACAAGCAGTTGCTCTGCAATCAATGGTATGCAGTTCTGATTGATAGCCTCCTTGTCAGTATTGTATTTGCAGATAATTTAGAGAGTTTGTCGATCGTAATCTAAAAATTCCTGCAGATAAATTCTATCACTCGCACACAATCAGTGAAATGTGTTTATTGACTTTTGAAGTGGTCATTCAGCAAGTAA